TGAGTGCACCCGGCGTCGATGGTGAGTGCACCCGGCGTCGATGGTGAGTGCACCCGGCGTCGATGGTGAGTGCACCCGGCGTCGATGGTGAGTGCACCCGGCGTCGATGGTGAGTGCACCCGGCGCACCAAACAACACAGAACGGCGCAGCGGGAAAAAAACAACCAACAATTGCTTGTATAGAAATCCATATCATTCATAAGCTGTTACAAAATTAATTGTATGTTTACTTGGTTACATCAAACATACGAGTATGGGGTTAATTTTGTTTGAACGAGCATACTTCTGTATATAGATGTTGACGGGCATACTTGTGTATGTAGATGTTGACGGGCATACTTGTGTGTGTAGATGTTGACGGGCATACTTGTGTGTGTAGATGTTGACGAGCATACTTGTGTATGTGGATGTTGACGAGCATACTTGTGTATGTAGATGTTGACGGGCATACTTGTGTATGTAGATGTTGACGGGCATACTTGTGTGTGTAGATGTTGACAGGCATACTTGTGTGTGTAGATGTTGACGAGCATACTTGTGTATGTGGATGTTGACGAGCATACTTGTGTATGTAGATGTTGATGAGCATACTTGGGTATGTGGATGTTGATGAGCATACTTGTGTATGTGGATGTTGACGAGCATACTTGTGTATGTAGATGTTGACGAGCATACTTGTGTATGTGGATGTTGACGAGCATACTTGTGTATGTAGATGTTGACGGGCATACTTGTGTGTGTAGATGTTGACGACCATACTTGTGTATGTAGATGTTGACGAGCATACTTGTGTATGTAGATGTTGACGGGTTAACGGAAGCCATTAAAAAAACAATATCCAGTTACAAAATGATCGGTCCTGCCGAGGGGACAGCGAGGCTGACTGACCCCATGCTACAACAAATATTGACAAGAAATCTTGACGTCCCCCCAAAAAACGGCCAGCTCTCGTGTCGCGTCTGTGGGTCAAAACGTGTTGACGCATACAACTTTAACGATCTCCCGTACTGACGACAAGACTGGACAGCACACGGTTTGTGTATGACAGCACGCGGTTTGTGTATGATAGCACGCGGTTTGTGTATGACAGCACACGGATTGTGTGACAGCTATACTGAGCAGGGGCATCACCAGAATAAACTAGATAATTTGTGGTTGTATTGTTGGTCTGGTCTCTTATTTTAAATGATTGTCCGTTCACAAATTACGTCACGTGAAAAATGACCTTTCAGACCCCCCCCTCCCCCTGGCACAAAGTGTTACAAAT